GTGTGGCTGATGAGATGATTCAGCTTTAATCAGTAGAAGAGAATGCAGATGTGGCACGAGCTGCAGAGCTGCCATTTCTTTAACATGGATCTCGCCTTACTGGCAGCTTCACATTGATTAACAGCAAGTTGGGCCTTGCTTTTGCATGAGCAGATACCAAATGATGTTTCAGAAAATTAAGAATTACAACTGGTACTAAATACTATCTAGCATTTAGTAGTTCAAAAGGTGGTGAAACAGAGAGGACTATCTGCTTCTTTCCCAGCAAAAGGCAGGTAGTAGTTGGCTAATAACCTGGTTAATGTACTTTAATTTTTAAATGCAAACTGTGAAAACAAATCTTCATAAGGAATTTCAATCTCCAGATAAAACCACACATTAAAACAGGCTTGTTGCTTTGTCATTTAATGCTGTTATCACTGAGGATGTGTTGCATGAAAACAGATTGTGATTTTTGGTTTTCCATTAGTGTCATTGGGTCTCTTCCAAAGGGAGTTTTGAATGTTGATTTTCTATCTGATGTTTCTCTAGAGGAATGGTGACCTCCAGTGGCCAGCAAGGCTAACCCAAACTGTATATACCACGTAGGCCATAACAGATCAGAATAATGATCAAGTCTGGTAGCCTGTCTCTGTCAAAGCCAATACCAGAAGCTTCAGAGGAAGGTAAAAATGGTTCTAAATGCTCCTAGCCTGCAATGTTTCTCATACAGCTAACTAACTTCCTTCTGATTCATATAGTGGTCAATTTTATGCCCTGTAGCATGAGTATTGATACAGGTTGCAAAGGTGTATAGCTCAGAACTGATGGTCAGAAAATTCTGTAACCTCCTGTATTTTAACCAAAGTTTTCAAGTACAAACTTCTGTGGTGATTAATTCCTTAATATAACAGGGGGGGAATATAAGTGAGTTAGATTTCCTATGATTATGAAAATTAAGTATCTCCACAATTCAGAGAAGGCAGGAAGAATTTCTAGAAGCAGAGTTTTATTCTGAAATAACTAGCGATTTATTCTTTATTCAATTGCATGCCTATTGGTATCATTACCAAAAGGAAATTTATTAGTGGTGAATGAGTTATGCAGCATAAGTTGAAATCTTATCCTAGCTCTCCCTGAAAACATCCTTCCTGCCCATACATAAAACCACAATTTTGCATTAGGTTGAATTTTAGTTTTATACAGAATTTTCAAGAAATTGAATAAGGATCTTCAAGTTATTAAGCTTTGTAATTATGTAGTCTGACTTGCTGGTATCAGTGAAGGCCAAGTTCTTGTTTTAGCAGAGGCAGTATGTTTGTGAAATGGTCTGTGGCCTATCTGGAAGTTTTGAGTGTCAATATTACAGTATAAACTCTGTTACACAAGTATTCTGTTTGAGATTCTGTGTTCTTGTACCTTTAAGCCACACTGATTTTTTTTTTTAATTAATTTTGTTTTTGAGGGAGGGGAGCAAAATTAACTTGCTATGGCATCTTTGTCCCTTAATGACGTGAGCATGGGATTCCCTCCAGCAGGAACAGGACCATCACCTGCTAGAACTTACGCAGTGCATTCACAGATGCCTCCAAGTGATTCTGTTACCCAGAATTTACAGCTGTCCTTCCTTCTGTTTGCTCTGTCAACATCAGTTCTGCCCCAGCATACCTACACTCTATTGCAAGGGGATCCATGCGAGAAGTTTTGTACCTCTGTTCTGATACAGCTCTCTGAGATTTTTTTATGAAGCCTGTAACAGTGAGATGCTGATCCTGTTCAAGGTCCTGTAATTTCTGCTAAGTGACCCACTAAACAAAAAAACATACAGTTGAGACAAGGACACTCTGTTAGTATTGGAAGCCTGGTTTTATTTATCTTACGTTTTCCTTTGTTTTTCTAATTAATGGTTAATTCACTAGTGTTAAATGGGAAAACTGGATTCCTAACTGTATCATACGTAAGAAGTCCCTTGTGTTTTGTGAGACCATTACAAGGAACTGTGTAAGCAAAGAATGTAGCTTGAAAGCTCCACTCTGAAAATAGTAGGCTTCCTTTTTGTGTTTGAGCTTGTCCAGGAGCTCCTTGTTCAGCCCTGCAGCCTCTGGGCATTCTTACCTGACTCTCTGTTGGGCTCCATCGCGCCTGAGCTTGGAGGACCAGTACCGACCCCTGGGGATGTTGGTACTGGGCCCGGCGCTGTTAAACATCTGTGTTGGCAACATGGACAGTGGGATTGAGGGGGGAACAGTTTTAAACTGCAAGTGGGCAGATTTAGATGAGATCTAAGGCAGAAATCCTACCCTGTGCAGGGGTGAGGCGCTGGCCCAGGGTGCCCAGAGCAGCTGTGGCTGCCCCCTCCCTGGAAGGGTTCAAGGCCAGGTTGGACGGGGCTGGGAGCCCCCTGGGCTGGGGGAAGGGGGCCCTGCCCGGGGCAGGGAGTAGCACTGGGGGGGGCAGCTTTAAGGCCCCTTCCAACCCAAACTGTTCCGTGATCCTGTGAATTTTGGACTTGATCCTTATGGATCCCTTCCAACTTGAGATGTTCTATGGTTCTGTGAATTTTTAATGTCAATTTGTGAGCTAATTTTAGATTTCAGAGTATGACATTTTCTTATTTACTGCTTAGTGATTATGATGGTTCTTTACCTGTTGACCTAATAAGATTTCTTCATGGTCAGTTTGCCCATAGAGTGTTGCCATACCTTCCATTAATATGTAGATGTGAAGATCTTGTGTTTAGAATGAAAGATACTATTTACTGATTTTAGTTCTGTTATTTTTCTGTCATTGCATACTGCAGCACACAGACATTTTGGGTTTCTTACTATTTCTAATTAGTGAGGCATTAGGAATCACAGCGGTACAGCTATACTTCCTAATACAGTACGATTTTTGTACATCATTCTTCTCCAGCATTAATGCATTCCTGGTTATCTTTCTCATATTCCATCCCTGAATTACATATTTTTAGTAAAAGGCATTACCTCAGCATATTGATGACTATGGACATTAGTATTTGGTCAGTCATCTTTCCATAAAAAACACAGATGTTTGTAGAATAAACTTAACTAAAATCACAGGATGTTAAGCAACACGAATGTCTTTGAAATGCTGGGAATTTCTAGTTAGACTAAGAAGCGTTGGAAAAATTAGCTCTTCTTGTTACATGTTATCAGTGTGGTTCAGTTCACTCTGGTTTTATTATTTAAGTTCCTGTCTTTGATGTTAAGCAGTATTGTTTACCTGTTACTGATTTTCTGGAACATCATGCTTTGAACTAGCTTGTTTGCTTGTATGAAGGAATTGAGCAGTAGCTATCACTTAGCTGTTGCACGATCTGCTTAGGATGTAGAAGAATAGTTTGAATGTTGCCCAGGCTACAGGTGGGAGAGAGGCAGCTAATGCTGATCTGCAGCCAGGGAGTTTAAGCATTCATTTCAAGTAAGATGTTGCACTTGAGATTTTTTTTTTTTTTCTCCCTCTTTATGAAGCAGAAGAGAGCTTTTTTTTGGCTTGTTAGTATTTATATTAGGGTGCAGTATGAAATTGGAAGTCATGAAGAAGAGGATTCTGTTCACAAAAGTGAGTAGTGTATAATTAATAACTCCAGGAAAAATGTGAGAAGTATAAATCCATTTGAATAATTAATTCTACAAGACTCAGTTAGTTTATTGTAATTTAAATACTTCATATTCTATAATATTTCAACTGGGAGACTCAGCAATATGATAGATGTAACATGTAAAAAGCATAGTAGTGTGGCTTGTCACTTGCGGTAAAGAGTAATTTAGCTGGTAAGAACTTAGCTGGCCCTGCGAAATCACAAAACGTGGTTATTGACTGGTTTTGATATGCTGGATTGGTTGCTCAGGCTTCTACAAATTAAAACCTGTAGCTGTGATTTTCTACTGGGCCTGGAAGTACAACTACTTGCAAGCAAGCTTAAAAAGGTGGAATTCTTCTCACACCTTTTGGAACTGCCATGGGTAGTGATTTAAACAAATAATAGCATTTAATCTGTCATATATATATATATATATATATATATATATATATATATAAAAATAGCATTTAATCAGTTCCTGTATCATTCAAACATGTGAGAACAGTGAGCTAATAACACTCCAGGATAGCAGGGATTTGCCTCAGTTGGAAAACTGTAGATACTGTTGAACATGCTACTGGTGTTTAGCAAATGAGAAAAGATTCTCAATGACTACAACAGCTTTATTTGGGTCAAAAAAAAATTTGCCCATGTTTTATTGACTGTCCTTGATGAGGAAGATAAATACGGCTTTCTAGTTCCTGTAGCAGGAAACATTGTATGTAAATATATTCATGGTTAAATTTTAATTGCAGAATAAAATTCTGGGCTGCTGTAGCTATTTTGTTGATTAACACATCCTTGCTTTTAATGATTGCTTACCCCTGTGGCTAGCAATTTATTGGGATGTAAATATTGTTCTTTCTTTTTGTTCTGTGCTGGAATTAATGTTAAGAAATAAGCCTGATTATGTTGATTTGACGTAATCTAAGAGGCTGCCTTTACAAGAGGCAACTTTAGAGGAGCTTGTAAAAGGGAAAATGAGTTATATTCTGGGAGAGCATCTTGGCTTGAATGGAAAGCTTCTGGAGCATGTTGTTGGTTTACAAACTGTTGAGCCAGATGTGTATAGCATCAGTGTTTGTTCTAAATATATAGGGTAAGAGGCTTGGGAAACAGTTTTTTTCTATAGTCTTAAAATTTTATTAGTTTCTGATAATTTTTGAAGTTTTTGTGTTTAAAATACAGCAATAGGATAAACAGGATGAGCATATACTGTTTGGTGTCAAAATCTACTCGTCTAAAACGTAATGTCAGATTGTATTTAATGTGTTTGTATCTTCTACCAATATTAAGCTCAGCTATAGTGACTTCTCTGTGCATGTACTCTAGAGCCAATGTATGTTTATTTTCTTAGGGGATTTGTAAATATTCAATATTTTAATTTTTATCCTCTGCCATTATATTTTTTCCTTAGCTGGAAAAGAAGCAAGCAACCCCTCCATTTCAGCCTCAGATCACAGATGATTATGGTTTGGATAACTTTGATACACAGTTCACCAGCGAACCTGTGCAGCTAACCCCAGACGATGAGTATGTTTTTCCTTTTCTCCAACTACAGTTGCATATTAAGAAATTAATTTAAAATTATTTGAAAATTACTATGTACTTAGCATAAGAACACAGTCAAGTTAAAGTAAATTTGAAATGTTTTGTATCCTACATACCTTGCATAACTTGCCATACTTCTTATATGTGAGAAGACTGCCTAGAATTATAATCAAAGTCGAGAATGCAGCATTGATGTGCTGTTGAGCGTGTGCTTGGCACGGAAAGAAAAGATGGAAATTCAATTCCTGACCCAGGCAGCTTGTGCTTCTGTACTGGGGAGAAACAAATCAGGCACAGCTCCTTGGGTCTCAGAATAAGCTTGAGATAGCAGGAAAATGTGTCAGAAAGCTATTATTTAAATGTGCTATGGAATAAATTTGCTGGATGAAAAAGTATGCATTAATAAAGGAATTGGAAGGCTGAGGAGTGATTTCTGTACACGAAGGCAGACGTTCCTTCAGACACAAGGTGACACACAAAACAGGCTTTAGTTTGGTAGTTAGATGGCAGACTTGGCTTGCCCAAACTCCCTGAGTGTAATTGTACACAGTTTTAAGGGTTTACTGAAGTGTCAAAATTTCAAATTGGAACTTGAACTTCTTCTGGGAATACAAGAGGAAACTGTGCAGTGGGGGAAAACGTGGGAGAAGAAGCAGTTTTGTTGACTTCATTTCTTTATGAAGCATTTGTTGTGTGTCTGGTGATAAACGTATTATCTGAGCGAAGGGCAGAGTGTGGGCCAAGCACCGTCGCTGTGAGAATCGGAGTATCGAATTGCTGAGGGAAGCAACAGTTGGGGGGGGTTCCATTCTTTTTTTCACAGGTGCATGTTTCTTTCAAGGCTTGAGTGAGTGATGCTAATGCTAGATGGCACTTAGAAAGCACCTTTTAAAGAACTTTAAAATACTGTTTCTCATTAAAGAGTGTAGTAGCGTATGTTTTCTTCTTAAATTTTTGTGCTATTAAAGATGCAATGAAACCTTCTTCTGCTTCTTCAGTATTTTGATCAGAAGTAAAATGAATCCAAGGAGATTTTGGGTTTATTAAAAATCTAAGACTGAATCCTGAAATCTGTGAAGTTAGGATTTTTAGGTGAGCTTTACTATGAGGGAGCAGCAAAGATTTGCTTGCACATTATACACTTTTATTTTCCCAGATTATTTCATTTATTTATGTTAGTTTTGGCTTATCTGACTATATGCCCTCTGCTGAAGATGATGCATCATTTTCAGCCTGGTGTCCTGTTCACTGCTTTCATGTTTGAAGAAAACCTGTTTCTTAAATTTCCAGCACTTGGCATTCTTGACAATTTCTAACTGAAGTCTGTAGAGCTACTGATTGCTGATGTTCTGGAATGAACTTTTGGGTCTAATCAGATGTTTAATAAAGCTGACTGTAATGTTAAGCTTATGGAAATGAGATTTTAACGATGGATTTCTGCGTTCTTAGATACTGTCTGAAGCCCTGTGTATAGCGGGGTGCCATGGTGGCAGCAGAGGCTGTTGCATCCCATCTAAAGGTTTTCATAATTAATGGCACAAGATAGTCACGTTCCAGCCCATGTGCTTCTACTAGTTTTCCTTCTTTGTTGCTATACAACAAAGCTAAACTGCTCTGAAAGACAGACAGTGCTGTTTCAGAGCCTCTTTAATCAAGTTCCTCATAATCTTAGGTCAACCCCCAGGATTAGCTAATTGGTCAGGGAATATTTTTTTGTACAAATAGAAGTTATGTTGATTAAATTTGGGATTGTAAAGCTGAACACTGTAACTAGCAATCCCTTGAGTCTACTCCAGTGGCAATAAATTCACTGTTTCAGGGTCTTTCTCTTGCTGCATTCTTGGGTAGCAGGTGTTTATCCTCACGTAATTATATATTTGGAGATTTCATTATGGATATTGGTGTGCCTAGGTGCTCAAGCTAGAATTTTGTAGAAGCTTTACCTATATATCAGATCCACAGCTCACAGCCTGTTCTCCCTTTCTCAAGAGTCCAGCATACATGAAGCAAATAGCTGAATGGAGACCAGTGTGAAGTGGTTCAGTTATTGTTTTCTGGCACAAAGAACTTCAAGGCGTATTCGTGCTTTACAGGTTCTAATTGACAATAAAATTGCAAACACCAAATGTATGAGTGCTATATACCAAGTGTATGGGAAGTTTCATGAACATGACATCTTAAAAGAAATTCTATTTCTTATATACATCAATTTATAAATCTTCCCTTGGATTTCCTGTGCGTACAGTAGCTTGGTTTTTTTTAAAGCATTAGCTTTGCGCTTGACTCTTTGGTAGTATTTATCTTACATATAACATTAGCAGCCCTTGCTGACAACAAAATATCTGGGTTTTATTTGTAAATTGGTATTATAAACAAGCCATTTATTATAGGCTTCTTTTTGGGCCCTATATGTATGCATGTTCCCTAACTGGAAGTGTGGAAAATAAATTTTTTATCAGATGTTTCAAAATTTCCAGTCATACTGCTTTAGATGTTGGCATAAGACATTAATGTTAAGTATTTGTATGTTCAGAGACTAATTTTTTCCTAAAACTAATTTACTGTTGCTTCTGTACAACTCGATATACATACATATCTGTAAAGTAATATGCTGTTATTTGAAAAAAAAGTACAGCAGCAAAATGGTATTTGCAATTGATAAAACTAAATAAATGCCTTTATTTGTTTTTCAGAGATATAATAAAGCGAATAGATCAGTCAGAATTTGAAGGATTTGAATATATTAATCCATTGTTGCTGTCAACAGAAGAAACAGTATGAAGGGATGACATCTTCATTGTGGACAATGTGAATGACCTTTAAATTTATCCTTAACTACAGTATATGCATGCGAGGCTGGGGAACTGTAAGATTTTGGATGGAGACCAATGATTTAAAAAAAAAATTGCTGCTGAAAATCAAAGAAGAGAATAATGATTTTGGTGGGTGTCTTCTGCCGCTTAGTGATTCTTAAGTTCTGGGCACTGACACAACTGGCTTCATTAATGAAGGGATTTGCATTTTGTGCCTGTTTCATGAAGGATTGAAAAGTTCATTGCATCCCTGGAAAAGGAGATTCTAAAAAACTTTGAGATCCACACACTTTCTACAAACATTTGATGCAATGAGCTACCAATTGAAGAATATTACAGTGTAACATCCTGAAGAATAAAATATATTACGGTGGTGTTGAAGCTTATTTTTGATGCCTTTTTTCACAAGTGGTACCTGTCTAAACGTCTCAGATATATTTAAAAGGAGTTGTGTTTTATTAGCAATCAAAACATAAATTTGGGTACAAGATTTAAGTGCCTAAATGGATAAACTGCGTTGAAGAATTATTACATATTTGGAACGTTCTTAAACCTGGTAAGTTCTGCTTGTTAATATTAAGTAACCATTTACGTATGAAACATACAGTTCACAGCTGCAGCCTAATGTTCATTTGCATCTTTATAGAATTTGAAATGCAGAGTGACTCAGCAATATTAATTCCAAATTGAATTTACGGTATCAATTTCAAAATATGTTGTCTTAAACTCCAAATTTACCAAAATGTATAGATGGAAGAAAACTAAATTTGCACACGAAGGTTTTCTGAAAATACTGAAGCAGTGCCTACACCTACAATGATGTTGTGTTGTATATTAGATTTTTGAAAAGTATTTTTATCAACAATACAAATATTCAGAAATAGAGCAAAAGCATAATAAAGCATAGCCTTAAAGTTTAAATAGTAAATCTAGAATAACCATAATATAAAATACACTTTCCTGATAAAGCACACCTCCTACTTAGGATAAACTCTCTGCTTACGATTACTCAGTGTATATTAATAACTAATCATTCTACACAAGAGAATGGGATGTTTTGGTAAAATGATTTGCATCCATGTAGTAAATTTTTTAAGTGGAAGAAAAATGAATACCTAAAAAACTGGATAAAACAGAAGCTAACTATCAAATCCCTTCTTGTGGAAACGAGGCGGGGTGTTGGGGCAGGGCAAGGGTGTATTCCATCAAAAAGGGTAAAGATTTATCAGCTTGGAAAAGCTCGCGTCGCTCCGTTTGAGGATCAGTAAGTGTCTGTTGCTGTCTGAAACTTCATCTGCTGTGAAGATGTACCTGCCTCTGAGTAACAACAGCAGAGGCAGTATCTCTTGCTAGGTTTTGGTGTAACTGTGTTTTGTGGCTTGTAGAGATAGGAAGGAAAAAAAAAATTATGTGGGAAGGAAAGAAGATGAGAAACCCTGTGCCATGACATCTCACCTGATTTGGTGTAAAATGCAGGATAAATTGCACCACTTCCACTCTCTTTACATTAACATATGGTTTTCTCAGGGTACAGCATTGCTTTAGGTGCTGAACATGACATCTTTCGGATTCACATCCAAGTCATGAGGTGCTAGGACAAGACTGCCAAAACATTGTTTAAAATTTTCAAGTAATCATTGATTAACAATCTACATTTTGTATCCCCTCATTAGCCACAGTTATGCAGACCTGTGGGTATTTCATTATATTAATCCCATTCAGGTTTAAGTTGTAGGTTTCTCTGTTGGACTGTAGCTTTTCATATTAGGCAAATTGTGTTTTAATTAGCACTAAATTAATTTAATCAGTAAGAAATACTTGCCTCAAATGCCTGGACTACAGATACTTCATTATCTACTAAAGGAAACATTTACCTTTTAAATGTAATCTGACATTTTTTTAATTACTCTTTTTTTTTTTCCCTTCTCCCTAGCAATTACTTTATTTACCCTAAATAATTTTTCTTTCAGTGTTTTCAACTCCCCTGGCAATGAAAGTAATCAATAGTTATCGGAGTGACTGCAGGCAGCTCATAAATGGAAATATGACAGACTAAGCTGTCCTTTGACATGCCAGGGCATAGGACTTTAAAATGGAAATATTAGAAATGTGGGGTGGGGGTTTTTTTAACCTTTTTTTCTAGGTTTCAGAACATTCTGGGAGGGCGGGAAGGAAGAACAGAAAGACACATTTGCTAAACAAACATTGTAAAGACTACTTGATTTTATTTAAAAAATTTACAGGCATTTACAATGTTGCTGTGTTGCCAAATAGTTTGCTGGATACAAGTTTGGTTGCTCGAGTGCAAGTGTTTGAATAATGTTCTGTTCATGATGAAGGGGAATTTTTTTATATAAAGTACTTGTTTTATAAATAAAAGAAAATGAAGGATGTAATTAAATGTGTGGTTTGGAAAAAAAAAACCCTAATATATTACAAATGGATCTGGTAATGATATATAGCTGTCTTATTTGAAATAGTAAATGAAAATTCTAGCTAATTTAATGATTGTAAAACAGTAAATATGTTCTTGTAGTTTTGTATAATTAGTTGGGATCTTTGCTGACCAGTTTTAATTGTGCAGAAGATGGTATACTAATCCATAACAGCTAAGATCATTTATATTCTTGCACATCTATTAAAGACTTTAATGAAAAAGTTAATAGACTGTTATTATTTATCAGTGAACTGAGCTATGTCCAACTTGCACTTTTTAAAGAGACCCCACTGTAAAGTAAATCTATAGGATTCTTCCTGTATTTTGATACTGTATTCTGTGTTTATTCTCTTTGGATTGCACCTGAACTGTTCTTTTTTGAGGTCCAGGGCCCAGGTTTGTTGAGATGAACAAATGCCAGTGTCTGACGGGGTTTCGGTCAGTTTCTTCTTCTTCCCTCTCTGTGAAGGCAGCTCTGAGGGCAGCAGCTGCTTGGGGCACCTGTGCCCTGCTCTTGTCCGGAGCAGGACCCACCTTCTACCTGTCAGGCTGGGACCCGAGGAGCTGCCGGGCTCCAGCAGTAAGGGCCTGCTGGGGGGAATGAACAGCTGCCTCCGCCTGGCTTCATCGCTTCCAATCCTTGCTGCTGAACTGTCACTAAATGTCATGTATTGTCATTCAGGGAAGAGGTTGCTTTTCTCAAGCTCATACAGTGTTAACCTGCTCCTATTAAGAAGTTACTAAAATAGTAGATGAGTGTTCTGAATACCTTCCAGCCTGAACCAGCTCTCAGGTGTTCCTCTTGTCTCAAACACTGATGATTTCCAGGTGTGGGGGGGAAGAACTGGTACAAAAAGCAGCTGTTTTGGCTGGCTGACTATTAAATCTTGCTTTGCATTTCAGTGTTGTGGAACTGGCAGGATAAGTGTTCTTTCTGGACCCTAATTTGTTTAGAGTTATGTACTTAGCTGTGTTCCTTCAGAAAGATTAAAAAAAATACCCCCAGCCATTACTTGGTCTGGGTTGTGTTTTTTAACAGATATATTCACAAAATCAACTGTATGATCAAATAAGTTCTTACTTGAATATTAAAATAATGAAAAATGCTAAGCTTGAATGACTTTTCAGTTAAGCTTATTTTCACAGATTACCTACTTAGAAAAAAAAAATGTCAGTCAACTTCTGGATTAGATTATTAATAGTTATCTTTTGTTCACTTGCTTTCTTCTACACTTAGAGATTCAGAACAGCAGTGGTGCATTAGACAGAACATGTTCCTCAGGGATTTACAACAGCACATTTTTTCAGAAGCACCCAGATTGCAGGGGTGCCAAGGCTGATTTCCCTGAGGGTCTCTGGCATGTCCTGTAGTTCTAGTTCTGAAAATGGTGCTATTTCACATGCATTTGAGAGGATTTACAATAAGAAGACCCCAAACGCACAGGTGGCACTTGACCTTCCACTAGTTACTGGCTTGTGGTCCTTAAGCAAGTCTGAGGCAAGGGTGTGCTGCTTTGCCACATTATTCCTTTTCCTGTGAGAAAGGTCCATCCTTGGCCTTGTTCCTTTGCTCTTCGTTCTTCTGGGTTTACCAAGTTATGTCATCTGCACTTTCAGACAAGCACATCGCAAGATGACCATCAATGTCCCCTTCTGACAAGCTGCAAGTACAGAGAATTTGTTCAGAAAGAAACAGTCAAATCCTTCTTTTTAGACTATTCTTCACCTTTCACTCTCATTCCCTAAGCCACTGCAGAAGTGTTCTCATAGCTTAAGGGGTAATTCCTGTGCTCTGCAGTGCTGCAATCTGCCACAGACTCTTCCAGTTTCTATCACCTGGTGCTTAAGAGCTGGGTTATGTCATTAACTAGGAGACAATGCTCCCACTCCATCTGCTCAGCACAAGTAACGCCATCCTTGGACCCATCAGGCTATTGATACAGGATAGAAAACCATTACCTTATTCCACATCCGTCTCCAGCGGGGGGATTCAGGAAACAGATTTCTGACAGAGGAAGGATGCTTTCTCATGCCTGCTTCCAGTTTCCGTTTTTTGAGAGCTGTTTCTGTGATGTGAGCCTCCCCCTTACCCATATTGCAGTATTTTATTTTGTAAAGCAGCTTTTATAAGCATTGAAACAAATCCTAAGCAGCACAGATTTACCAGTAGCATAGAAGTGAGAATGAAGACCTGAAGAATGTTTAGTCTTTCTGCCTAAATCTCTTGATATTATGACAACAGTTTATAAATATTAATGAAGCTGTCCTTTTGTCTCCTCCTTCAGCCTCCAAAAGAAAGAAAACAAAAGTGCAGCCAATACATCTTGCGGTGTTAGAGGACCTGTTGACCAATATGTTTTCAGCAACTATGACAGCCTAAATCCTATGAAATGGTGTAATTTCAACAGACAACATAATTCTTATTGCAGAGTAGATAGTCAATTGCTGGGAAGGAGGATTTTTTTTATAAAGGCAGCCTGACAGCAACAGAGAACTCATTTAGCTGTACTAATCAGAGCTTGCATAAGAAAAATCCATTTCCTTCCATCATGTCCAGACCTTGAAAGCTAATTCTAGAATCGAGAGCACGGTTGCTCAGCCAAAGACATCCACGGGCTGGTGGGCCAGGTACCAGTGTGGCTCTAACAGTAAAGTCTCTGTCTCGAAGAGCAAGTGACAGGTATGAGACTGATCAACCTAGCTCTAAACTTAGGTTTGAACTCTCAGGAATGCTGCACCAGAATGAATTTTGGATTATGATATAAATTTCACAGCAAGGTCTTTTCGTACTGCAGTATTTTAAAATGCTAATTGTGCATATACTAGCAAGGTGTACCAGAGAGGTTAAACTTAGCTTTCTTTGGAAGCAATGTAATCTAGTAATCATGAACTTCCAAACTGAATTAGGTAATTCTGTAAAGAGAACTTTACACTAGAATTTTTGTCTATTTTCATTATTTTATATATAGAGAATGCATCCAGAACCATTGTGGTGTTTGTATACTGCGAAGTTATTAAAAAAGAAAAAACTTACGTTCCACTAAAATGCATCAGACACATTGGACACCTGTCAAGAGTGGAAGATCCTTCACTCAGATTTTCCATCCTCCTATTGCAGCTTTCAGCTCCAGGTACGCTCCTGGCAGGAGACTGCTTTTCTGCAGGCACACAGCTGGCCTCACCAAATGAAACATTCCTTTGATGTGCTTGTATTTGAAGCTCTTTCCTATCTTCTTCTTTTCTGTTTTCTCTGCTGTTCTCGACAGTCACTTTGTGCTGCTGTTGAAAGCTAAAAGCTTTTGCAGAGCTTTGCAATGATGCCAAGTGCCGTGTAGGACTGGGTTGAATGAGTGTCCATGATTTGGGACTTGGATCCAGGTTTGAAATACCTTTTGTGTCTTCCCCAACCATATTTTTGGTTTGATCTGTCGAAGTTACACAGCATGTTTTCTCAGCTGTAGAAGGTAAACTTTTCAGTTCCTCTGCTTGGTCCTGTCCTTTATGTAAATGGTTGATCTGGTTCTGTGTTAGTTGATGCAAGCTAAGGTCCTTTGATTCTAGACATTTTTCTTTGCAAAAAGATGGGAATGATACCCACTCGAAGTCTTTCATTCCAATTGTGAAGACTTCTTGTTTTTGTAGACTGTCTTCCTCAGAACTCTGTAACACACACACACACAGTGTCTTCAAACAAATGCAGTTCAATCAATACATAAAACCAAGGCTGAATGTATTACAAATAGGGAGAAAGCTAATCTACATTGAAGAACGTTTTATTTATATTGATCTCTAGTACTTGTAAAGCAACCAAGAACTTCTATGTTTATGCAATATGTGTCTTCTCTTAACGTTTCTAAAATAATACAATAGGGTACTTTTTTATTACGTCCCATATCGACTAAGGATGAAAACAACAACCTGCTGCTGTTCAGGAAAAAAAAAATTCTACTTTAGAAGGACTGTGGTTTTTCTGTTATGATATTTGCCTAAGGCTATTAGAGCAATGTAATGGGTGTGTCTGTATAATTAACCTCTCCATCAGAGTTTGCCTTTTCCAGTTTTATTCCGTTAGGGAGGTGCTAGTGCTTACGAGCAGTCAATATACTTACACAGGTTACCTCTTTCCAGCAAAATGTGCTAAAGAATTTGCCATACTGCAAAAAAAGCCCCTTTAGTTGTCCTTATACTACCTAAGTCACACCACTATATGTAGAGAGTAAAGAGCTGAAAACGAACATCTATTTAAAAGCTGTTTCAGATTGTTTCCCCTCTTAACATCATCATCATTCAGACTTGTCACTATTGTAAGCAATGCACAAAGTGCAAATGAGGACAGAGCACACTACCTTTCCACAGAACTCTGGAAAACTGGGCAAGGTTTGCCAGTTTGTGCATTGTAAATCTTGAGCGATGTCTTCCAGTAACAAAATCCATGTTTTTTCACATTCATTTAAGTCTTCTTTTTCAAACCAGGAACATCTGTCAGTTAGTGTCCTGTAAAGACAGAGGCAGTCCAATAGTTAGAGGGTGGGAGAGAGGGAAGAAAATACTATGTGTTGCTACTAGTTTGCCTGTTACTTAACTTGATTTACCCCTTCTGTAATGCTGGTGGTTTTTGAAACATAGCTATCCTATGCCATGTCATACCACAAAGAGGCACATAAAAAGCCTTTGTCAGTAGGCACATCATGCAGTTTGAGAGGCAAGAGGGCCTGTGGAGGAAAAAAAATTTAGCTGTTCATAGTATTTGTTTATCAAGGGAACCTCTATCTAGCCTACAGCAAAATTTTTTTTGAACAGAGACATTATTCAGCCTGCAAACTAATTTTTACAGCTTACCATGATTTATATAACTTGTAGAGCTATCAAAACAATTATCAAGTTTTTTAAAAGAATGTCTAAAAGCCTTGTTTTCTACTTGTAACAAATGAGATGTAGGTATTTGTTACTGTATTCACCTCCAAGTGAAACAGTGAAGCCACAATTTGTTCTTCTCAAATATTGAATTTGAATGAATGAGCACAGAAACCATGGAAGTGTTTGCACTGAGGATGGTGATTGCATTGGATCCCTTGTATGCTTTGCCATTCCCGTAGTGCCATTTGAAATTGCTGATTATCTTTCTAAACAACTAGATCTAATCCAACCTAGGAAGGCATTCAGAAGGTTTAACTATGAAGTAAGCACTAAGAGGTTTTTATATTGGTAGTGCTGTGTAAAGACAATTTCAGAAGGATGGATTGTTAACATCAGAGTACTATTTCCAGCATTCTCACATCTTACTGATGCATTTTCTTGGGTCAGTGTCCCGGCATGATGCTGCGCTGAGAAGCAACTACAGACAAGTCTTGCAAGCCCTCAAAAAGCAGAGCAATCGGCCCTTGGAAGCCTGTTTTGGGAAGGAGCACTGCTGCCAGCACGCCTGCACATCCCAACAGGCTCAAACAAGTACCCAACCACTCGCCGCCTCTTCACCCCCCCGCCTTTCTCCAATCCCTCCCTTACTCGAGGGCTGAAAAAAAAAAAAAAAAAAAAAAAAACCAACCAAACCAAAACACCAACCGGAATTATTTCTGGTCTCCTGTAAGCCTTTATTCTGAAGAAAAAAAGCCTTAATTTTCATACGTTAACTTTTTTCATGGACTCCCTCCTCGCCCGTGCTGTTCTGTGCACCACCCCACCCCCCCCAAAAAAAAAAAAAAACAAACAAAAAACAAAACAACAACGGGTGCAGATGGTGCAGGGCCCGGCGCACTTAATGTTTCCCCATTGTTTAAAGGCACTACCGACGGTGTTGTATGAAGTTGCCTTTAGCACTCCGGAGGCGCGGCTGCCCCAGCCACGCTGCACCCTCACAGTCCGGGCAGAGGCGGGAGCGGAGCGGCCCGGCCGCGGCGGGCTGCGGGTGGCTGAGGAGCCATCGTCCCACCCGACCCGGACTCACTGGCGCCGGCGAAGGGGGTCCCGGTCAGGGCTGGGCTCCCGGCTGCAGGATGGCGGCGCCTTCCTGGGCTTGAGGCGCAGCTTGGCGGCTCCTTCCTCAGACATGGCTGAAGCGCGGGGACCGGCGGCTTCCTCCAGTCCCATGAGGGGCGGCACCGCCTCAGCGTTCCCTCGCGCCTCGCCGGCGGGCGGAGAGGGTTGCCGGCTCCTCCTCTTCCGAGGAAGAGCTTCGATACCTCCCGCTCCACCCTCGAAGCCGTCCTGAGGGGGCGGCCGCTCATCGCCTGAGGGGAAGCCCGCCCTTTTCTAGCCCGTCAGCCGCGGTCATCGTCGCGCTGAGCTTGGCGGGGCCCGTAGCACCCTCACAGCTCCTAGGCTCCCAGCCCACCTCGAAAGCCATCCTTACTACATTTTACATATTACATTTACTCCTTATCTTGATGTATTTGTAGCGTTTTGGTGTGTGCGGGGACTTGGGTGTGAAGCGGCAATGCAGCGTGCCCCGTTTGTGCAGAGTCAGGGCGGTTTACTGGGTGACCCGTCGCCCAGAATATTGTGGGCTTTGGTCGAGTTGGACAAAATGGCGGTGGGCTCCGTCATTTCTCAACTGATTTTTTGTACTGATACCTAGATCTGTTTACTGCAGTACAAGGCTGAAGCCAAAGATTGTTAATGCAAACAGTAAAGTAGATTGGGAGTACATCTCTGATCTGATTTCTTTTTCAGGAAAAAATCTGTTGAAGTGATGCAGTTTGTCTTTTGTCAGGAAGGTCTCTGGGTGGCTCAAAATAAAGCACTTGTTAGAGCAGAGCCATCACTGGTAGTTTTTGAAATGGATAGACATGCTAATCAGGCTGCGGCCTTTTCAAAACCAGACATAATAGAGAAATGATGACAGACTCTTCATAATTCTCCAACCATAGATAAAAGGATCAGAAAGTAACTCTGCTGATTAAATTCTTCACAATCAATTCAAGAATGATTGTACAAGGAAATAAAAAAATATTTTTGTCTGCTAACAGGTGTTCATGAAGGAGAGCAGGTATAGAACATTCTCTTTTCTAAAACCAAATTATTTTTGGTAAAAGATTAATTCAATTTCACATTCAGTTACTATAACTGCATTTATACCATGCTGAATGTCCTGTGGACTGTTTCATCCATAAACTCTTTAGACTAAAAACGAGGTATCAGTATTAGCTGCAGCACTGTATTAAAAGTTATGCCTGTGAATAATTTTGTTGGCCACACAGACCTCCAAAAATGTATTAAGTAATGGTTGACCTGAGTTTCTACGTATCTTGAACATATCTGAACCTGGAAAATGGCATTCAGATACCAGAGTTCACAGACTTACATTTGAAATAGATTGGTAGATTTAACCTGAGAAGTGACCAATAGAGCCAGACGGCCACCTCCAGCTGTGTCAGGCTGAAGATGATTCAGTTAGAGCGCACCCAGAGACCTGGGAGGCTCAGTCCAGTTTACAGCTTTCCTGTGCTCACTCAGGTACTTTGTGTTTCTGTGAGTCTGTATCTCTAGCGAGGTAATGTCTTTTACTCTAAGTAATAACTGATTTTTTAACATTAGAAGAGTGTTAATGGGTTTCCTTTTTCTGTAAGAGTGAGGATAAAGATCTTAGAAGTGTAAAGTGTTCAGTTACTAATGGGAACTGTGTAAGTTTCTACAGTACATAGCCCAGCTGAAAAATAAAAATAATAAAAAACAATAGTCCTACTAGAGTTCTAGTATTTCTGCTATGTGATAGACAGACTGAAATGAGAATGAAATTCAGGAAGAAAGAAATGACAGTGGAAAAGCCAGTCACTGTCGTGCAGACTAATGTTTTCACGTATTGATATTTGTTACAGCTAATGCAGTACCCAGGAAATATGGGGACAGTTACAAACAATGTTCTGCCTTTCATTTTTGTTGCCATTTAGAAGCTGCTTCCCAGTGGGATGAAATGAGATTCCAGGAAATAGATCCTCCTTTCTCTCTTTGGCAGGAAACGCATTCTCCCAAAAGTTCCAGGTGAAACAAGGTAGGCTGAACAGAGGCAAGGGGCAAATTTGTATGTGAAGATTCTGGGCCTGCTGTAGAAAGAAAGAGGGTGATGCCAGCAGATACAGAGCAAAGGATAGCAAGAAGTATATATAAATAAAGGAAAAGTGTAGATTGAAAGAGGGGATCAGCCATGTGAGTGATTGGAAATGAGATGACAGAGGAGAGGTAGAAATTTGATTTCACAACTGCTGAATTCTAATTGAAGAAGACAAACTAAAAAGTATTTCATTTCGGGTTTTTTACTTGCCGGCCTTAATGACTGCTGTGAATTATAAGAGACAACACTGATTATCACCACTTGGAGGCAGCAAACAATATAAAAATCTTGCTGTAAAAAAATTCTAAGGAGCAGTGAAATCAGTTTGAGCTAATATCTGCATATTTTTGTAGGCCTCTACATATTTCTAGGTATATCTGTGTTAATGATTGTTTATGCCATAGGGTTTCTTCTTTTGTTCTTGTAACATTTGGGTTAGTGTTTTTTATGTCATATATCTTCGATACTACTTCAACAATCCTCTACTCCTAAATCGTGCATTGTACCAACGGATTTATTTTGTTAGATACGACTTCTCCTGAAACAGCCATCAGAAGTATAGTCTGTTTTTCATGCTGAAGGTGTTGCTCTGTGGTACTGGTAATACTGTGAGTCATGCATTATAGCATTTGCAAAAGCTTTATTGTGGGTGAGCATAAAAAATGGTTATTGTGCAGTAAGGGCCACAAATTAAATATAATAAAAAGAATAGCAAAAATTATTATTGCTGATTATAAAAAACAAAAGGGAAAAGCCTTACTTCTGTAGCAACTATATAGCTTGTAGGTGCTTTTGTATTTTGTGGATTTAACTGAAAACTTGATGCTGTAAGATTTATTTATTTCATTGTTACCTGTTTGATGTGTACCCATTATAAAATCTATGAGGGCAGGTGTGTCAGTGAATGTTTTCATTCTGGCTCTGTCTGCTTTTGTCACTAGCTGTGGATTTGAAACTAGCATTCTAGAAATCTTTGTCCATTATGCGTACTCAGTATTTTTCATCTGAATCTTTTCAGAATTAATAATGTACTTACAGAATGTTCTTGGTTCTGCCACGTTGCACAAGATCATATCTACTGTTTCCTCCACTGACATGGAAATCCTATTACTTCTTGCTTGACTTTGGGTCCTGCATAATTTAATAATTAGAATGCTTTGTGATCTTATTAAAAAGTTCGTATAGAAATGCAAAGAGTAGTCTTTGCCATCATCATCCTTGACTTCATCTGAGCCAGTGGTCAAGGGATTTGAGCTTTTGGAAGCCAGAGTGCTTCCACAGATTATCTTTAGGGATTTCCTTGTAAATGGAGTGCCAGCATGTCTAGTTATCTGTTCCCGGTAGAATCTCATCAGGCTGCACACACTTAATCTTTCCTTCCATAGTCCCTGATTCTTGCTGTAAAGTGGGCCTCAGTTTTAACTTTTGCTCTTGGGAAGAAGGGGCTATTATAACAAATTCTTATCCTTTCGCAATTCCACAATCACTAAAGCCTATAAATTGCTTGCCAAACAAACCAAGTGATCTTTTCCTGGGCTGAGGGAAAGAGGAGAGTGTAAAACGCAGGTGCCAGCATTTGCTGGGGAAGAACTGGTACATTATCAACTAATCCGCCTTCTGCTATTTCTGATTTCCTACCCAACAGCTGCAACACTGAATGAGAGCTTCTGCATTTGGGAAGAATTAGAAAGCCTGGTAATGCAGGGTCTCTATTACAGATACAACAACTCACAGACAGGAGATTTTTGCTGCCGGTGTAGAATTTGGAGTGCTAGGCATTTTATAGCCTGGAAAAATTGTAATTTTCAGCTGTTGTTATGGAGTAATCAATGAAGAAGAGATGCCATAGTTTCTGCTAGGTTTCTCTCAGAGCCTGATGTAATTGCATGCATGAGCTATTTTTTTTTTTTTAATGTACCGCTTTGAGGCTAAAGCATATGCAGATTTTATTAAAACTTTTTTTTTTTTTTATGACGACTAATACTCACAGATGGTTTTAGTCCTGAAATATTTTTGGTTCTGTAATCTGCAGTGATAGATCCTGTATCAGATAAAAATGTTCAGAATAAATTGTGCCTTGCTAGAAAATTGAAACATTATTATGTTTTAATTATATTCTCTAATCAGTGCTTGTTTTAGGAGTAAATGTTGATAATTTTTTGCCCTTGTCAAATAGTCTGTGATTTCACTCAAGTATCAGTGTGTCCATTCTGCTAAATGTCATAAAGGAAAATGTCCCCAAAGATACCACAGCAGACAGAAGTATATATAGTAGAGCATAAGTGAAAGCTTCTACAGCAAATGGGCTTTACGGCGTAACTCCTCTACAGCCTAATGGCAGCAAATGCAGCACTGAAAAGAGTAACTCAATCATACTGGCTCACTCGGTATAGTGCTAATCACTGTCTGTAGTGAAATGGGAAAGTGACTATTTTAATCAACATGATGTATTACAATTCAAACCACAGAATTATGAAAGCTGTGTAAGACTTCCTTTAGCATAGTCAGGAGAATAAAGATGACATGCAGTTTCAATTTGAGAAGTGCAGGCTCATTGCTGTTTCCAGAGAAAGTCAGTTGAGTGAGACAGTTTTGTAGGCTCTCCCTAATTTTAGTTGTAGGTGACATAGTCTTTTCAATGAAAAGTCATTGCCTTTGAAACCTGCCTCCTCCAGTAGCTTACCAGAGCCGGAATTTGTTAATGTGCAGAGTCCAGTGCACAACTCATCTGCTCAATTCAGCCTCCCCTTTTCAGGTACAAGGAGAGATCAGTACCTGTGTGGCTGTATATAGAAAATGAAGCCTTCTGACATTTATACGCCAGGATGGGAAGACCTAAAAAGAGGACTAGGGAGACTGGCATGGCATTTGTAGGTACCAGGTTGCCAAGGAGGCATATTGTATTGAAACAGTTGCCTGGGAAACATTTAAAAATACATTGAATGGAAAAACATATGTGATGTGCCCACAAGCGTTCTGTGTGAATGAAATGCTATGGCTGATGATGGCACCAAGAGACTGTTACTATTAGATGTAAAGATACTGCAAGTGATGTGCAGGGTTTTTTTCCCCCCATACCCTATTTGTAGGAGATG